TATGTAATTAAAATAATTCTGATTTTGTGTGTGTGTGTCTGTATGAGAAAATGAATAAAATAGCGATGTCAAGAAGTCTCACATTGATTAAATGATAGGAAGTAGATAAAATAGCAATGTTAAGAAGTCCCACATCGACTTATCTTTAGAGTGAAGGAGTTTGAGGAGCCTATATATAGGAGATAGTGAGTGGAGCTTGAAGTGAGTAAATAATTTTCGCACATATCTGAGGTAGTCTTAGAAAAGTGCTAGTTTTTAGTTTATTAACCGTTGGATCGAACTGAAATTTGGTCAGCCCATTTGGGACATCCAAATCGTTAATTTCAACGGTTGGATCATCATTTTGATCTCCGAGTTACAAGTTATTAGGTACGTTTTTAACTTATATCTTTTGGATTTAGCATATAGAGTCCTAAATAGTAAATTAGCATTTTAAAGTTCATTCACCGTTAGATTGAGCTATAATTTGGAGGATAATATCATGATAGATAGGAAATTAAATTCAATGGTTAGATTAAGGGATTAACTTTTGTAGTGAGAATAACCTGGTTTGTACTAAGTCTATTTGTTTAAATCCTTTGAAGATGGAATATAAGTTATAAATTTATAGTTTGTCTATTTGCATTATGAATTTGATGATTCTAATAATATAATCTAATAATTAAAGGATATTTAAGTAAGGAAAATTTAGGAATCGAGTCTAAATCATATATATATGTTCTCATTCCAAACCTTAGAGAAATGTCTTTTAGGCTAGAGTTCTGGGTAAAATTAAAGCTTTTAGAGGAGGAGTAAGAGGCTAGAATTTTGTGAGTAGCCTACTCTAATACTATAGAGATAATATTTTAATTTTGTTTGTAGATATAAACTCTATTGTGGCATTTTCGAGGTTGGACTCTGGTTGTAGTTGACTGTTAGCTAGGAGACCAGGTAACTAAATTTCTATCTGTTGCATGCTCTAGTATGAAGTTGGTGAGCGGCTTTATAATTGATTCTATAAAAGTATATTACGTTTTGTATGAACTGTCTTGTGGGATGCTATTTTTAAAAGGATTGACATAGTTTGTATTGCAAGAAATTGGTGATCATGATTATGATGTGCTATTATGAAATTCTGTTGATTATACATATAAATGTATCATTTTGAACCCTGTGCATCTATTTTGGGTGGGGAAAGGAGGTAATTGGAGCTATTGAGATTCATATACTTGCCACGTGGTATTAGCCTCCATACGGAGCTCTATGGTTGGCTGCTATTATTGTCCCACTAGTTCTTCGAGGGACTGCGACACCCCACTAGTTCTTCGAGGGGGGACCCATGGTCCACCGAGTGCTCTGTGGTCTTTGGCCGGTCCACATCATTCGTGTGGTGAGCTTGTCAGAATTGCCAGTCAAATGGAAAGAACTTAGCCCATGGGTCCAGTCGGCGAAAATAAGGAGGATATAAGGATGGATTTGGGTTCAGGAATTGCATATGACATGAGATATTCATTGATATTTATATCTTTTAAATAAATGACAAGTGTGTTATCTCTTTTGAAATGTATAAATTGTATGAGAGTGGTGGAAATATTTGTCTTATATGATTATTGTGAGTTTAAATGTTAAATAAATATTTATCAATTATTATTAACTCTGTGTATCCACCTGACACCTCGCTAGCCCATGCTAGGGTGTGTGATAGGTAGGGATTTAGTTACTGAGACGTTGTCTCATCCCTATTGTTTAACATTTTTCAGGTGAAAGCTTTAAAGGAGGGATGTCCGGGAAGGCTCAGGAGGAGTAAAGCTACATTAGCAACTTGTAGCGTCTCCTCGGTTTATGAGCTATGTTGTATCCTGTATATTGCCACCTTAGGATAAATTGTTTTTAATTGATTCATGCATTATTATTTCTTATGTCCTTTGAGTGTACTATTGTGGTATGTGTGCTGATAGGCGGCCAGAGGCCTAGGATCGCATATTCGCATGTGATTTGCTTATAAATTTATTATAAAGTATGAATTAAGATTGAATTCTTAACATTTTGATTTATGAGCTATATTATATGTTGTATTATAACTATATTAGATAAGATTAATCTTTTCTTATATAGTTTGTATTTGAATAAGTTAAGAAAAATTCTTTTATCCGTGATAGGATGTATGATTGGGTGCTGCTCTTTTCTATCACGGATAACAATATTATATAATTAGTTAATGTAAATGATTGTGATATAATTTGAGTTTGTATTTAGAATAGTTTGGTTATAAAATGTTATTTCTTAAAGTTACTATGAAAAAGTTAAGTTTATCTGTTTATTTAGGGTGGTTGTTTCACGTTACATACAACTAATAATATTCTTGGAATATCTCATTCTCTGTCTACATACGTACTCCTCCGGTTCTTAATATAGGACCCAATTGTTGAGTTGGTTTTGGTTCTAAATATAAGACTCATTTATCATATTTATCAATTTTTTCTAAATTAACCCTATAGATACTCCCTCAACCATAATTAAATAAAAGAAGGAGAGGGGGTATTAAGAAAAATGACTATAGTGTTTTAGGAAAAATGTGTCACTTTTCTTATAATTAACTAACTCACCTAACTTTCTTAATCTAATTAAATTAGTTAAATAGGTCTTATATTAAGGAATATACATATCATTGCAGTTTATCCCCACACCCTTCATTGTCAATGTATTATCGTTGGATCCTAAACCCGAAACCCACATGTGAGTACTAGAGCCGGGAAAACGGGTCGAGCCCGTCAGGCCAGCCCATTTAGGCTTTGAAATTATGAGGGCTGGGCTTGATATTTTTCCCTTCAAATGGGAAATAAATCCTGGAGGGTCGACGGCTTAAAAGGACCGGCTCTTTTAAGCCCTTTTATAATTTTTTTAATATAATTCTAATGTTATTAATTTTTTACATTGTTAATAATATTTCAAATATTTAGTTATTATTATCATTTTAAAATTAAATTTAGTGTTAGACAATAATTTATCCAATTAAATTTTTAAAAAATGGGTTAATTTGGACTTTAATAATGATTTGATTTATATTATATGCGTTGATATTTTTAAACTATATATATATTTGATAATAGAGTATTTTTATACTTATATAACTTGTAATTCTATAATTTGAATTAGAAATTCATGAGTTTCAACAACAATGTTTCTCACATTAAAGTAAAATAATAGCTAGATTGTAAAATTTAAAAGTAAAATTCCTATAAAGAAGAAAAACTTGATATTTTTGTTACGAAAGAAAAGCATACTTATGAAGAAGAATAATTAATTATAGTGATGATGAAGTTTCAAAAGATTAATGATAGTGTTTATTTATTGAACAATTGCACTATAAATAAAATTTTTGGATGTTGTTATCTTGTTAATAAATGTTTTAGATGTTCTTGGATGTTGATAGATATTTATATATGATGATATTTTATATTTATGACTTAATTTTATTTATATTTATGTCTTTTTTTAATAATTTCATTGGGTTATTTTTATTTTTTATAAAAAAATATGATAAATATAAAAAATAATATTTTTTTTAAACGGGCCAAAAGCCCGTGGGCCGGCCCTGAGCCCTGTAGCTTAAGGGCCGGGCCTAGTAAATTGGGGTATTTTTTGAAATTTCAACCTTAAAGGACCAGCCCTGATTCCCACCTCTACATGTGACGACAAACCATAAAGGTACCAGTTTTTTTGGTTTGTTTTAAATAAGTTCTCAATCTATTCTATTTCTAAATCTATAATTTTTTATTTAAAATATTTTTGTTGATTACAAAAAAATTTGTATTAAAAAATAATTCTAATACACAGTTAAAAATAAAATAAAAATTTTAAAAAATCACCACATATTTGTTATTCTTGTATTAAACATCAGAAGTACATATACGTCTCAATCAATGAATAATTGCGTAAATGCGGCCCCTAACTTTACACGAAGGCCGGATTGCAAGCCATTAATAACCAGAAAGACGGAAAGGGAAGGACAGGCCTGCTGGGGTAATACACATTTAAGAAGATGTGAGATATTCCAAAATTGAAAAAGACATGCACGTGTTGTTGCTGCCCAGGATCGAACTGGGGACCTTTAGTGTGTAAGACTAACGTGATAACCACTACACCACAGCAACCCACGTGTCGCTTTGCAAATGATTATTTTCTTGATTCATATCATTCGTCCCTCTATTTATCCCCCCAGAAAATACTCTAGAGACGCTTGACATGCTTTTGTTATTTTCCCCCCCCATATATAGTTATGTATATTGATTTCTTTCTGTTTTATCTTAATTACAGAAATTTCTAAATCCCTTGTGAAATCAACCTTTACACAACATAAACATTCCTTCTAGTTTTAAAATTATATTTTCATTCAGATAATCATTAATTTACTATTAAATCACATGTTTTTGACCAAAGTATATCTCTTTTAACATATATGCCATTTAAAAATATTGGAAAAACCATTTTTGAGGTACTTATAGTTTCTTTCAATTTTTAATTTGATACCTATAGATTTTTCTCTCCATAATAAATCATTTAATTTTACGTTGTTAGCACAATTAGTTTTTGTACATGGTTTAATAATACTAATATACTAATGGAGCAAAGTTATAGAGATTAACGGTAAATTCCGAATGATATTAAAAATTGGATCAAAGTTTATGTCCTAAAAATAGAATGAATGTCTCTATAATTTTAATAAAACAGGAGGAATGCCATTATATTTTACTCTTTTTCTTTTAAAAAAAATCATCTGTAATATAATGGTGACATATATTCTTTCTTGAAAAGATGAAAATACACAACCAAAAAAACAAAAAAACAGTTAATTAAGAACAAAAGGGAACGGAGCTACACAATCTCTTCTGGATGATGACTTACATAGCGAGTAACTTTTAAATTCCTTATCAGCCTTTACAAGCTTACCACGGGCCGTATAATATAATCCTATATAAACAACCTTATAATTAATCACTACCACCACAAGCACAACCTCAGACTCTCCAAGAGCCAGATATTTCAGTAGTGAAGACTCAAAAATGGAGAATGAAACAAAAGCTGCAAGAAGAGCTCACTGTGTGGTGTTGGCATATCCAGCTCAAGGTCACATAAACCCTATGCTTGAGTTCTCCAAGCGTCTTCAGCATGGAGGAATCAATGTAACCCTCGTCTCTACTCGCTTCTTCTGCAACAAATTACAAAAGCTTCCAAGTTCCAATATTGCCATCGAGACCATTTCTGATGGATTTGACAATGGTGGAGCCGCTGAAGCAGAGAACGAGAAAGTCTACTACGACCGATTCCGGCAAGTAGGGACACAGACTCTTATTGAGCTCATTGAGAAGCTCAACAGAACAGGCAGCCCTGTCGATTGTATCATTTATGATTCATTCATGACTTGGGTTCTTAAAGTTGCTAGGAAATTAGGGTTAATTGGGGTGAGTTTTCTTACCCAGAATCTTACTGTGGATAGTATATATTACTATGTGAACAAGGGAAAGCTGCAACTTCCATTGGTAAAAGATGAAATTATTTCTCTTCCTGGCTTGTCATCTTTTGAACCTTGGGATATGCCTACTTTCTTGTATGAATATGAACCAGGAAGTACTGTTCTTGATTTGGTGGTGGGTCAGTTTTCAAACATTGAGGAAGCTGATTGGATTCTCTGCAATTCATTCTACGAGATGGAAATTGAGGTACACATCTAGGCGAGCAATTATGTATACTACTGGTCTTTTGATATATCTGCTTCTTTATTTGGAGTTCTTTTTTCCGCCTCGTAAATTTTACTTAATCTCTGTTTACCCGAAGATTGGTTTAGTTACATAATCCCGAAAGTCATATGGCTCTCTCCTAGTTAAACTCTCAGATAATCCAATTTCAACTTTATTGAAGTATGTCACATATTCCTCCGATCTTTAATATAAGACCCATTTAACTAATTTGATTAGATTAAGGAAGTTAGGTAAGTTAGTTAATTATAAGAAAAGTAACACATTTTTCCTAAAACACCATAATCATCTTTCTTAATACTCCCTCTCCCTTTTCTATTTGATTATGGTTGAGGAAGTATTCATAGGGGTAATTTAGAGAAAATTGATAAATATGAGAAATGGGTCTTATATTTAGGATCAAAATCAACTCAAGAATTGAGTCCTATATTAAGGACCAGAGGAGTATAATATTTTATAGTAGATGTGAGGGCCATCACCACGTATTGATTACCCACTTACTAAAGAAGGTTTGGATTTGGCCAAACCTTATTCAGGGTCCTCTAATAGATTTCGTTGCAAATTAGTGGCTCTTCGGTTTTAAAGCCAGGTCATATAATTTTTTTTCCTCATAATCTATAGACACTTTTTCTTTCATTTGTATTGAGTAGAATTTGACAAATAAGTCATACGCTTCGAAGCATATGAATCGTGCAACTTGCTATAAATTGTATATTATATATTGATATAATGACATATACTGATAAGAGGCCCATGTAATTCAATTTTAGGTGGCAGATTGGATGAGAAAGATTTGGCTAAACTTGAGAACAGTTGGACCAACCATACCCTATAAGTTCTTGAACAATAATAATACACTTGAAGATGATGAAGAAGATTACGGATTTGCCATATTCAAGAGTGAAGAATGCACAAAATGGTTAGATAATCAGCCAAAACAATCAGTTGTTTTCGTGTCACTGGGGACTATGGTATCTATCAGCCAGGAACAAATGGAAGAACTAGCTATGGGTCTGATAGATAGTGGAATCACCTTTTTGTGGGTGGTGAGAGAATCTGAAGAAGCTAAGCTTCCTGTAAACCTTCCCAGAAAATCACAGAAGAGTTTGGTGGTCACATGGTGCCACCAACTCAAAGTCCTATCACATGAGGCTATAGGATGCTTTGTGATGCATTGTGGTTGGAATTCAACGTTGGAAGCTTTGAGCTTAGGAGTCCCAGTGGTTGCTATGCCATTATGGAGTGATCAAAGAACCAATGCAAAGAATATTAAGGATGTTTGGAAGATAGGAGTGAGAGTTCAGTTTGATGAGAAAGGGATTGTGAGAAGAGAAGCATTGAAGAAAAGCATTTGGGAAATCATGAAAGGTGAGAGAGGAAGTGAAGTGAAGAGTAATTGCATCAAATGGAAGAATTTAGCTGCAATGGCAGTTGGCAGGGGTGGAAGCTCTTGTAAAAACATTGAAGAATTTATGGATAGCATGTCCCATTTAAAGGTTAACGAGCCCTGAGAATTTCAAGGGTATGGATCTTACACAGATCTTGATTAATTATGAAGTTACTCGAGAGTATTAAAAGAGAGGGTTACATTAAAAGATCAGGTATAGTAGTTATTAGGTTAAGTGAAAGGAGTTTGATCATCCTTAAATAAGATTTAAGGTTTGAAATTTGTAATGGATGAGGAAAAACATGTATACTAGCTTGGGAAAACTATCAATGCTTTAATATGAGTTAATTGATTGTACTATGTATATACTAGAAATATTGCACTATGTATATACTAGAAATATTGCACTATGTAATGGATGAGGAAAAACATGTATACTAGCTTGGGAAAACTATCAATGCTTTAATATGAATTAGTTGATTGTACTATGTATATACTAGAAATATTGTTGTCCTATCTACTTCTTCATCTTTGGTATATATAGTTTCATTGTGGTGGAGCTTATAAAGTGAAAGGAATCAAAATGAAGAGAATGAAATATGGTGAATGTCGGGAGATTAACCGCGAAACATTTTCCGCTTGTTTGAATGATGTACATGTGTACTTAATGGAATGTGAAGATTGCGAGTTTTCTTTGTTTAGAAACCAGTAGCTTATTTGATTACAATTTATATTTTATGTATAAATTAAATAAAAAAAGAGTAAAATGCTCTAAATATTGGTGGTGGAAAGGTAGGGACGGTGGTGGTTGATGACAGAAGGATTATTTAGTGGTGGTGGATGGTCGTTCACATAGTAGGAGGGACTATGGCCCGTAACAAATTACGGCACAATGCAATGAAAGCTACTGTTAAGGGACAATAATGGAGAAGGAAGGGAATTAAATTAAATGAGAGTAGGACACTTCTAATTTTGTGTTGATATAGAGACAGGATAAAACACTTTATTCTTTACTCTTCCAACAACAACAAGTCTTATTCCACTAGGTGGGGTTATTTTTTACTCTTAGTTCAACAAAAATAAGATTCACACTATGTTTGAATGGGAGAAAATTAGAGAGAGAAAAAATACTAGGAGGAGGGAAAATTAGTTCAACAATTAACTATAAAAGTTTTTCTTTCAAGTATTCTCTCCATTCAGACATACCCTAAAAATTAAAACAGCCTGAATGGGAGCAACAGGCAATGGTCAGAAAGATGAGGACAATATACGGTGTGGTGGAGGATGATGGCAAAGGACAGTGATGGGTGGTCACAGGCACCACGTGGCTATCAGTAAAAGGATGAGGGTGATGGCAAAGAGCAAAAGACAATAGGAGCAATAATATTTGGAAAATTACAATATTTATGTCAAGTTTTTTTTTTAAAGATTTATTATGATACTAGAGAAAGTTATAAAGAACTTTAAAGTTTTATTAGAATTATATAAAGGGAAAATGATAAAAAAAAAAAAAGACTGCCAAGATAGAAAAATTATAAATAGGGACCCACGACAATATTAGTATTGGTTTTGATAACAATAGTATGAGTTTTGACAATAATTTTTATAAATAGGTCTTTGTATGCAATTTCTTTATTTTGATGGTCTTTTTTTTTCCATTTTTCCTTATATAAATATCACATTTGTTTTCAATATCAATGCCGATTTTTCTGAATTTTGTTAACAACACACACGTCTACTTTCTAATTTCACGACCTTCAATAAAATAAAGAATTAACGATGGAGAACTTTCTTTTTTATTTAAGATGTATTTTTGTATGTATTAAAAGTAAAAAATGATCTGTATGGTTTTAGTGAAAATTTGATTAAAAATATCATTGTTGTTGATTTGAAAAAGTGATAATAGATTTAATTGTATGTAGTGGTTTGATTTAATCAAATTCCTTATTATAAGGGCAATTTCATTTATGCTAGCATCTTGCCCTCATACTCCTCTAGTCTTATTTATAAATAATTTTCAACATGTTTCATACAAACTAAAAAAAAAAAAATCTTAAACTTTATTAACTCTTCTTTAAAATTCAATAACTTATCAATTTTATTTTTATTTAATATACATTATACTCCAGAAAAAAACAAAGTCAACACAACAATAAATAAAAGATAAAATTGTATATTAATATGAAAAATTTCTCTTTTTATCCTAAAAATTAGATAAAAATCCTTTTTTTTTTTCTCCACCCTATAGATAGGACCAGAGGAGTGCTTGCTGAAAGCATCTTTGACCAAAATTTAATTTATGGTCCTAATACTTTAATTGTGGGTTGTTGGTTCTAAGTTGAAGTTATCATTCCTTTTTTTTTTTTTTAATAGAAAGAGGCCCATATGATTAATTCATCTTTCACGGGAGTGGAACTTAACTAACTATTACTAATCCAAAAAAGTTGGTTTCAGGTTGCAGATTGTATGAGAAAGATTTGGCCAGACTTAAGGATAACTGGACCAACCTTGCCCTACGAGTTCTTGAACAATAACATTAAAGCACTTGAAGATGAAGAAGATCATGGATCTGCCAAGTTTAAAAGCGAAGAATGCAGCAAATGGTTAGATAATCATCCAAACAATCAGTTGTTTATGTATCATTAGGAACAACCTTATTGAAATTTTGAAATATTATGTTCTTAAAACTGTGATTAATATATTGGTTTTCAAAGTGTTTTTCTCTTATAAATAATATATCATTTGGTAAAACTTATACTCTTCTTCATATGCTGGCCAATTTGCACGCTACACGGCACGGTGCAAACTTTTTTAGTAATTTAAAGTTCTCATTTTCCTGTCACCCCCAGTTTTAATAGTTCTTTACTTCTTTATATGAGATTTTTTTTGGTCAATTCTTTAGAGATTAGAGATTATTGAAGGGATTGAATCCCATCCTCAACGGCTCAGTGAGATATCATTATTATTATTTTAATTCCTGACAACCTGCACATTAAATGATTTGAGTACGAAAAAGAAGAAGAAGAAGAAGCTACTTATATATATTTTATTTGATTTTACTTGACCAATGAATAAAATATGCGATGACTTAAAACAGAACTTTATTTAACGTGTTTAGACCTTTAGAAAGAAGCATCATTTTATTAAAATAAACAAGATTGCTTTGTTTTCTTCTAGAGTAGATGGAAGATGCAGACGACGAGGATAACGAGGAGCCCTCATCAGATCCGAGGCAAGAGAGTTATCATGTCTAAATAAGATCTAACGAGTTGAAATAATACTAAAAAACTAAATGTTTTCGTTGCACTGGCCACATTATATATAGAATTTCAACTTGATTTTGATAAGCATATTCTCCTTCGTTCTTTAATATAGGAGCAGTTGGGGAATTAATTTTGATCCTAAAGATAAAATATCAAACTATTTCATCTCTCATATTTATCATTCTTTTTAAACTAATTTTTTCTAACTTATAAAATGATATATAATCTCAGGTTGCATATGAGCATTTCGCCTCTAGTGTCATAAATTCCTCCAAACATACCTTTTTACTTTCATATTTCTGAATGTGGAATTCATTAAAAGATGTTGTAAATCGCTAATATGGAAGGATGCGACTCGCTTAAAATTTACTAAATTTTGCTTCTGATGCTGTTGATTCCCTGAAACTTGTCCTTTTACTTCAATCTTTTAAGTATGGAATTTGTAAAAAGGTATAGATGAAATCTATGTCGTAGATTTCCCAAAACATGCCCAAAATGCTGGTTTATACTACCTGTCCCTTAATATAAGAGCTATTTTGACTTTCAATTTAGTCCTAAATATAAGACCCTAATTCACTTTGTTTCTCATATTTATTCATTTTTTTCAAGGTAACCCTTATAATAGTTGCACATAATAAATATTTCATCAAATGACAATTGATTAGCGAGGCTATTTTAGGGAAGATAACACCTATTTATACAAATAACTAACTTAATTAATTTTTTTAATCAACTTAAATTAACCAACTAACTCTTATATTAAAGATCGGAAGTAGTACATACCGAACTCCTCCTCCTACATACGTGTGTCTATAAAAAACAAAAAACACACCCACCACACACGCACAAATCTATCACCCCCACCACCATATCACACCCAAAAATGGAGGGCGAAACAAAAGCAAGAAGAGGTCACTGTGTGGCGTTGGCATATCCAGATCAAGGTCACATAAACCCTTTGCTTGAGTTCTCCAAGCGTCTTCGACATGAAGGAATTAATGTAACCCTCGTCTGTACTGTCTCCTACTGCACCAACTTTCACAAGCTTCCCGGTTACAATATTGCCCTCGAGACCATCTCCGACGGCTTTGACGACGGTGGGATCGACGAAGCAGAGAGGCAGAACGTCAACTATTACGATCGGTTGCGAGAAGTAGGGACACAGACTCTTATTGAGCTCATTGAGAAGCTTAATAGAACAGGAAAGCCTGTTGACTGTATCCTTTATGATTCATTCTTGCCTTGGGCTCTTGAAGTTTCGAGGAAATTAGGATTACTTGGGGTGAGTTTTCTGACTGAGAATATTGCTGTGGATAGTATATACTACTTTGTGAACAAGGGAAAGCTGAAACATCCACTTGTAAAGAATCAAAAAATTTCTCTTCCTGGATTGCCTTCTCTTGAGCCTCGGGATTTGCCTACTTTCTTGTATGAACGTGAACCGGGAGATCCAGTGTTGGGTTTGTTGGTGGGTCAGTTCTCCAACAGTGAGCAAGCTGATTGGATTCTCTGCAATTCCTTCTACGAGCTTGAAATTGAGGTATAACTAGTCAAATAGCTCTGTGTGTGTGTGTGTATAGACACACATATGTATAATTGATTATTTGCCTTTGGAGATGTCAAATGATTCTTCCCTGAACTGAAAAGTAAGTTACAAGATTAAGTTTAATCAAAATGTCGTCAAAATGATACAAGAGCAAATTTCGAAGACCTTTGAATTTTTGTTATGGTTATATATATTACCTCCTTTTTCTCGATATCAATGCTGAATATTCTGAAAAAAAATTGGTTTTAGGTTGCCGATTGTATGAAAAAGTTTTGGCCAAAATTAAGAACCATTGGACCAACCATACCCCACGAATTCTTGAACAATAACATAAAAGTACTTGGAGATGAAGAAGATCATGGATTTGCCAAGTTTAAGAGTGAAGAATGCACAAAATGGTTAGACAATCAACCAAAACAATCAGTTGTTTATGTATCATTTGGAACAAAGGTAGCTCTCACTGAAGAACAAATGGAAGAAATTGCATGGGGTTTAACAGATAGTGGGATCGCATTTTTGTGGGTAGTGAGAAAATCTGAAGAAGCTAAGCTTCCT